TGTCCACCTTTAGATGTCCACCTTTAGATGTCCACCTTTAAATGTCCTCCTTTACTCTCAAACCATCGTTCCTCTCTATCAAGGACGTGAACATCTTCATCCCTGAACAAGTGACCTCTGACCTGCTGCTACTGTATCACTCAGCCCTCTGAATAGCAAGCAGTCATCAGGGCTCGCTCTATCCATCCATCCATCCATCATCCAACCAGGAAGGATGGATGGAGCTGATTCCAGACTGCCTGTGTATTCATGACGAGGATTTCTTACCGTGCCACTTTCCTTTGAAAACTGTTCCAAATGATCCCGAGCCGATCCTCTGACCCAGGGTGATCTGACCCTCGGGAATCTCCCAGTCGTCACTGGAGTCGCGTCTCCCCAGAGTTTTCTGCTCCACAGGACACAGTCAGCATAAGAACCTGCTGCACAGCGGCACAGTACCACAGCTCCGACTTCTTACCATTTTATTGCGATCCTCAGATGAAGAGGACGACTTGCGCTCCCTCTGCTGGCACGGTGACTTCTGTGGGACTTTGACGTTGGTCAGTGATCCTGGTAGAGACGCAGGAGGGGTGGCCGAGAGCCCGGTGGTGGAGCCTGATAAAGACAGACCATAAACCAGATGAGAAGGGCTGGAAAGACCAATCAAAGTAACTATACGATGGAAAAACTGGATCTGACACACTGAACTTATGAGCTAGCTAAGTGTCAAATATATCATCCACACAGTAACAATGATTATTGACACACATTTTGGTGTTGACGGTACCGGGAGTTGAACCTGCGACCCTCCAATCACAGGCCATCTTCTCTAACCTCTGCACCACCACTCCTCCATTTGATTATGTAAGCGTATAAATACTGTCCTTACATGAACTCACTTTGTGTAACGATTGTCAACATGAGGTTTAATCAAACTTGGCTCAACTCAAAAACTGGTACGCCAGAACATTAAGACCACAGCAGAGTCTTTCTCCAAATAACGGATCCTGAAGGTCCTGGACATTATGAGGGGTCTCAGAGGACAAAGCCCACATTTGGTCCCTGTACAAATGGACTGCGGGTTTGGGTCACATGGCTGGCAACAAGTCAAACTCATTTCCAGAAAGCTGGTCAGGTCTGGTGGGAAGATGGATGAGGTCAGACTTAAGGCTACTCTGGAAGAAGCCTGTTAGAGGCCGTCAAAGCCTGAGACTGAGACCAGGGTTTCCTTCCAGGAGGACAATGACCCAAAACATCCAGAGCTACAGCAGCCTGGTGAAGATTCAAGTTGATCCATGTTCGAACTGAAATGTGGAAAATGTGACGGGCTGAGAACTTTTCAAGACACGGTGGACACGAAAGACCAAAAGACCTCTAGATGCAGGACGGTGGGAGACATGGGGACACTGTTTTAGATCCTTACCTCCATCAGACCTCTGCAAGCCCCGATCTCGAATAAGGTCCTAAGAGGACAACAGGAAGAAGATGTTATCATGGATCACAAAGTGTTGTGGATCGTCACAAACAAATGACACAACAGTGACTACGGAAGCTGTGATCCACCAGACCTGGTTTCATTTAAATGACACGTTACAAAGTAAGGCCAGTTTCGTGCACGGCCTGCCATACGATCAGTACGAGACCTAAAGCCAGCACCGTCTCCTGACCAGCCAAGAGCAGACTTACGTCGATGTTGACAGGCTCGATGGTGTTGATATGGACGTTGGGGGCAGAGGACGAACGGTCCCGCTGGCCAAACTGGTTACGGTGATCTTCCTCGTTGGGTCTGAAACTAGTTGGAATGGGGATGGACTTGGACGGGGACATACTGGTGTGGGACATACTGGTGTGGGACATAGACCTGAAGAGACGAGAGCTGGTCATAACAGAAATTGTAAACTCGACAAACTCAAAGTTTTTACACATTTCTATAAAACACCAGCTGCTGACTCCAACTGTCCGCTCACCTGGTGGAGTCGGACGTGGGGAGGGACGGGCAGAGCTCTGACACGGGGGTGGTTCCTTCTGAGGAGACCTCCTCCTGGCTGAACGGGTGGTGCTCAAAAAACTTTGACACAAGTAACAAGCTGCAGGAAACAACAAATACCACACCACAAATTCATATGAGCTCCTGCTACCAACACACAGGAAGGCAGAGTGTGTGTGTGTGTGTGTGTGTGTGTGTGTGTGTGTGTGTGTGTGTG